GAATTTGCTCTCATATCAGTACGAGCATCTTTCCTTCCCTGAACAAGAGTACCCACAAACCAAACTGAAGATTCAAATTTGTCATTAAAGCTTTACTACAGTTCAAAATACTGTGCCTGGTTCTTCCTAGGTGAACTTCTAGAAGGCCCACGATTCACTGGGGGAATTTTTCAATGACTATTTCTTATTGAGAAAATTATTTTTTCTACTCTGTACTTGTTGCATCTGCAAAATATTTATCCTGAATTGGCAGATTTAGAAGACTCCTTTCGGCTCTAATGGTCTGTGGACTTATGATTCAATGATAAGGGTACAAAGAACTCATTTCTGAGTTTTCTTTGTAGTAAAATTTTTAGTGTTGTCTTCGTAAAAGAAGTTATCAGATCAAATATTTCTCCATGAATTTCTAAGTGAGATCCTTAATACAGTTCTGTTTTTTACTGTTTAGGATCACTAAGACCTTGTCCAGCTCAAAACTGTGTTTATATTAATTTATTCCACATGACAGTTTAGACGTTTTAGGGCTGATACTAAGGCAAGTTACAAGCAGATGTTATCAGAAATGGTTGAGGATCTGTTTGCTTTTAGGTAGAAGAGACACATTTTAGAAAATGCTCTCCCTCTTTCTCCCTCTCTCTCTCTCTCTGTGTCTCTCTGTCTCTCTCTCTGTCTCTCTCTAAGAGCTCATTTTGTCTTGAGCACTTTTAGTTAGATTTTTAAAAATATGAATAAGTAACTTTTGAGATTATATGTGAAATCTTTTTTTTTTTGGGTCCGGTAGTGGGGCCTGAACTCTGGGCCTGGGCGCTGTTCCTCAGCTCTTCAGCTCAAGGCTAGCGCTCTACCATTTGAGCCACAGTGCCACCTCCGGCTTTTTTTCTTTTTTTTTGCTTATGTGGTGCTGAGGAATCGAACCCAGGGCTTCAGGCATGCAAGGCAAGCACTCTACCACTGAGCCATCTTCCCAGCCCCTATATGTGAAATCTTAATTATATGTGAAACTTTAAAATTTGATAGAATAAAATTTACTAGATAACAAATTTATATATAATTATTCTTTTATATTGCATATATTAACTGAATAGTTCAACATCTTATGAACTCATAATGTTTCTTAGAAAGATATTTTTAAAATAAGCAGAGATGTAGGGCCATAAATATAATTTATAGTTCTTTCCATGACATTTTTACTTCTACATTTCAAGCATTAAGCATGAACTCTTTTAATGAATGAGCAGTATGAGCCATGAGCCATTAAATAATACAGCCTGGCTTTTTCCCTACACATGGAAGATGCATGAGAATGGCCAAATCACTGATGTTAATCTACATTACACTCAGATAGTATCTTAGGAAATTCTATCAATCACATCAAGATAGGTGCATAAAGAAGCCCAGTAATGTGAATCAGTACTGTGGGCCTTGAGCAATGGGATTTTCTAGCCAAGCATTATCCTGTACTTAACTTTATGGTTTCTAGTAGCCATTTGAAAAGATTAAAAAGGGATAGATAAAATTAATTTTGTTGTACTGTATTTATTAATACATAAATTAACTTTATTTATCTCAGGATTTTGAGGTTATAGTAACAGGTAATCAACACAAAAGCTATCTTACATTCTTGTTTTCATTCCATATCTTAGAGATTTGGCATGCATCTTATACTTACAGTACATTTCAATAGATACTGACCATATTTCAAGTGCTTAATAATTACATGTGTCTAGAGAATGTCAGGTTGGACAGTGAATGCTGTGCTAGTTGATCCTACTTTTCAACAGACATCAGTAATATGCTGTAGAGGAAAGATAAAGACTAGTCTGAAATCTTAGATACTGTGTCTGTTTCCTGGCTTTGACATTTAATATGACTACCAAAACTGATTTAGTTTCTTTGAGTCTTAAATTCCTATTTTCTGTAATGGTAAATTTTAATAACTACCATACTCAGTAGGCTGGGGTAAGATTAAATAAGATATTATATGTGAAAATTCTCTGTTAGATCATGAAGCACTATACACATGTAAGGCATTATTACTTCTTTTATTGTAGATTTGCTCTTATGACTTGCCCAAGGCCACATTCCAAATTGGTAGGAGAATCAAGGATAAATTTGGGGGCTTCTGATTTTCAGCCATCTGTAAAAACTAAAGGCTACCTAACTAGTCTATTTTTTTTAACATTTAAAGAGTCCTTTTATTTTTTAAAAATGGAGGAAATAAGAGAGTGGCATTAAGAAGTAAATTCCATATTGAATAGTTATGATCTTTTTGGCCACTGCCATAATGTTCTACAGTAAAATTATACATAAGGATATTTATACAGTTACATACTCAGAATTATAGCCATCAAGGATTGGACTTCATGGTTGTCATATAATATAAAATCCCATGTTCTTCAAAGTTTCAAACAACTTTTAAATTGAACTGTGGTTTCTCTACTCTATCTCCAAAATATAGTACAGCCACAAGAAAGTCCTTATGTAGTGAGCTTGATTAATAAAGCAGATATGGATCAATTCAGCAGGTTTTCCATGGATATTTTTGGTTACAGATGTAGCTCATTAGTTCACATGTGTGAGATAGCATTTCTGTAGTGTGAATCCAAAAAACATATTAATGTTAAACAGAAAGAGAAAAGACAGGTCAACACATTTTATTTACTGTCCTTTTTGTGCAAAGTACTTTAGGTATTTAATAGTCAAATTGAATTTAAATTATCATAGATAAAATTTTTAATAGACTTTGAAAGTATGCATGATAATTTTAATTTAGATATAAAAGTAATTTTACTTGAAGAACACATGGAATCTGTCTACCAAAATGTCTTATGGGACATGAATCTCAGTAATGTATATTTTTGAAAAGTAAAAAAGAGATGATCTGAAGGAAATGATAGATTATTCAAAAATAATTTTGATAGTTACATTCTGTGCTTTTGGAGAGCACCTAGAGTATTTGCTATTATGATCAGTTCCCATTTCCCTAATGGTGTTTCTATCATGGTATTTATTTTTACATTTTTGCTTTTCCTCCCTCAACATTTGTGCCTAATGAACATCTTTATAGAAATTAAAACTACATAAAATATTTAGAGTTTTATGCCATATAAAATTAGCATGAGCCAAGTTCATTTTCACAGAAAAAGATACATATGCTCAAGAAGGTCTTTTTTAAAAAAAATCAAAATTATTTTAAATAACTTTCAGATAGCTACTTTCATTATAAAACTATCATGTTTAAGCTGTAGGACTGCCTGAATTAATGACAATATTAAATAAACATAATTTTAATTTTCATTTGCTGAGTCACTGCTGTTGACTATTTCATTAATAGTTTATTGAGCAACCTTTATTTTACTGCTTCTGCACCTTAGATTCGAAACAAAGAGCTCAATTTTTAAAAAGTTCAACAAAATGTGCATTTTATATTTCCACTATAACTTTATAAGAAATTCCTCTCTTTTGCCCTGCAATAACCAATTTCTACATTTTTTAATGTTTTAGTTTAACATTATTACGGTAATATTTTTTACTAGGAAAGTGCATCAATGCCCTTGGCCACAAGATTTTGTTACAAGAATCCAGAAATGGAGCCTGTCATTGGTAACAACTAAAATGTTTCTCTGGACCCCATTCAGACTTACATTGTGAATGTAAGCCATGTCAGGACTCTTCATCATTTTCTCCAAAATCTTCAATCAGTTTGAGTCCTATGACTCGTTACTTAGATAAGTACACATTAAAAAACAATCATTTTGAATTATAAATATTTTATTTGGAGAGACTATGACTTTGATGGCATCCAGCCAAAATGATTAGTGGTACTTACATTAAAAGTTTAACACCCTAATGAAATCACTAGTGTATTTGCATTTCTTCAGGAACTCTGAATGGATTCATTCTCAACAGGGTGTGCCCATGGATAAGGAACTGTAGGAGAGATGCTGGGCTTGTTTAGATTAGGTGTACTCAGCAAGAATGTAGCAATCTGAGGTATCTTTACAATTCATTTTTTTCAATTATAAAATAAAATTAAATGGACCATAAAAGCCATTGTACTACTATATAGTAGGAAATATTGAGCTCGGTTTCCAAAAGTCACACTTAAGAGCAGGCAATGGTCATAAGCATAGGATGGCTGTGGATACTATGAGATAATGTCTACTTGTTAGAAATGGATGGTATGTTGTGGCTTGGTTTTCCATTGAAGTTCAAAAGTTAATGACGTACTTTATATTTTTATTACATGTACTGAGGCATCAATTAAAATATAAAAGAGATTCTCTCCTGCTGTTAATAGTTTTAACTGTGGATATATTCAATATCAAATGTGAATAAAACCATATTTGTTATATCATGCTCTGTTTCATACATCCTAGATTGTCTTTAGGAAAATTTAGTACATATCACTTCAGTCATCTGAAAGGAATCATTTCTTCATTACAGCTCATAACTTTAAACTATAAAATATCACTTGGAAAAAAATATTGGCTCAATTAAGAGAAATATGATAATGGTAGAAAAACACATATAGACATGTCCGGGAGATGATAAGATTATTTTAATTTTCCCATTTGCACTGGAATTATTTATTTTACAAATCTCCAGATCTTTTATTACTTAAAGTCCTCTGCTGAATCATGAAAAGAAGCTTAAGTTAGCAATTTTCCTCTGCAAAATCTAGCTGCTAGCATCTGGTGAACACTTGAGTACCTATGGAAATGATTATTTTAAGACTCTATTTCAACATGCTTGGACTCAAAAATCAGCCGGGATCACTCTCTGTATTTTACTATAGGGATTTAAAAACCTGGTATTAGCCCCAGTCTCAAGTCTTTGCAACAGTGTAGATAGGATAGATGAGAGGATGTTAGTACTTGCAAGCAGGCTAAGCAGCTGCCTGCCAATTGCCCATGTGTTCCTAGACAGTAATTGGTTGCATCACCTGTTGATCCCCTTATAGCCAACCCCTTGTCCTGTCATCACTTTCCCACACTTACATTTATACTTGTCTGGCTTATAGAATTGAGGACCAGTATTCTTTCTTGTGCCTTCCTGTGGTACCCTTGGGGCTAGTTTCTGTGTCTTCACGGGATGCTTCTCCACTTCCAAAACAGCTTCTGAAGTAGAATAGAAGAGGACAACTTTACTTAACTGGGAAGACTTATAAGAAGCAACACTGCTATCACTAGATCACAGGAGAAACTACATAATAGTAGAGGCATAAATGAAGAATTCCGTGAAAAGTACTATTGTTACAACCAAAATTAAGGGGAAATAGAGATCGCTTGTATGTTAATTAGAGACAATGATTTTGTTTGATGCCATCAAGTATACATTTATTTATTTTCACACATATATTGCTACAGCTGTGATCTGAAATGTCTCCCAAAGGTCAGTGAATTAAAGGCTTGTTTGCCAGTTTGTGGTGCCCTTGGGAGGTAGTAGAGCCTTTAAGAGGTGAGGCCTTGTGGAAGGAAGTTAGGTCATTGGAGAAGTGCCTCAGAGGGAACACTGAGACCTTGGTCTCTCCTTTTTTTGCTTTTGGCTGCCATGAGGTGAGTAGGTCTCTTCCACCACTCACCCCCACCATATGTACTATAACGCCATAGGTCCAAAGCAGCAGGGCCTAGAGATCATGGATTAAAACCTCAGAAATGAGGAGCCAAAATAACATTTTTCCTCCTTCTAAGTACCTGACTAACACATATTTTGTACATGGCCTTTATCCAAATAGATAATGCATAATTTATCTTCATTTTCCCCATGGTTATATGTTATATGTTTAATTTTCAATAATTCAATTTTTCGGTTATAGAGGAAGCAAACTTATTAAGAAATGATAAACGAAAAGTTCAAGAGAGAAGTTAGGTTTATTTAAGAAAAGCAAATTTTGAACAATACATTTTCCATTCAATTTGTATACAAAGATTCTGAGTGAGGATTTATTGTTAGTGTTTGTCAAATTAGATCTGACTTTTATTTTTTTGTTTGGCAACAATAAAAGCCTTTTTATTTTTAGGTTTTGCTTGGGATTTTGATATAATCTAACTAGTTGAATATAATTTAGAAAGCCTCTATCATCTAGACTTATAAGTCATATGGAATTTATCTCTACTTAATCTGCATATCAGAAATTTCACTCTGTCTTTGACATATTAAAGACATTTTGTTTTGGTGTTTTCCATAGGGTCTGGACTATTGAATATATTTATATATGGGAGCTGAATATATCATCCAGCTTCTGACATGTGGCTTTGCTATAGAGACAGTCTGTACAATATTCGTTCAGGCTCAGAGGATCCAGAAATGTTTTGAACTTTTGCAAAATCAGATGTGAATGAAGCTTGAGTTAGCCATTGATAAATGGAAGCTCTTCAAGCTATACGATCTGATTATCACTAGTAATAAAGTTAAGCAATAGTAAGTGGACTCAAGAGCTTGACTTTTCCAGTTCACTACATCTGTGGCATAACTCCTTGCAGAAGACTGGCAGCTCACAAACACTGTTACCTCCAGGGAAAAAGAAGCTCTCCACAGTCTGATTTGATACTAGAAACAGGATGAAAATACATTTTAGCTTATCATTCTTTAGTTATTCTTTAATCAATATTTATTGGAGAATTACTAGGTGTAAGGCATGAAATTTAGTCTTGGAGAGAGATTATTGAAAAGAAACTAGATACATTTTCAGCTATCATAGGACTAACAATATGAGATAGTGATTTTTCTCCAATGTTTTCTGCCTCCTTTTTTCTACTTGCATAAAAACAGAAGAGGAGAATGATGTACAGAATAGAGAGAAACACTGAAGATATAAATTATATATAATACATGTGTTATATATAGAATTCAGTCTACTTCTGTCTAAACAGCTTTCACATATACACAGCTAGGTAGATTTTTTTTTTGGTTGTGGGGGCTGAACTCTGGGCTCTGTCCATAAGCTCTTCAACTCAATATAGTTGTTAACTTACGTATTCTATATTACAGACTATTATTATATTTATATTTATTTTTTAAAATATATTTTATAATTATTGTCAGATTATTATTATTTAGCATGAAAACTTTAAGATACTTTATTTGTTAATTCTGACCTAGGCACAACACACTAGAATATAACAATCCAGGTTCTGGGTGCCAATTTAAACTTAGCTTTGAATCCTGGATTTTTCATTTATTTCTGCTGGATATTTGGAAGTCTAATTGATCAAATTTCAGGAAGGTTATTAGACTTTTTAGTTTTCATGTAAGAAAAATTTGGCTAAGTACCTATTACCTTAGGTTTAGTGATGATTAAATGAGTGTATGCATTTATAAATAATAATGTATAATAGTTTCATGAAGTTTAGTATTATAAATAATAGATGTAACCATTTCCTAGTAAGTTTGTCTATTATAGTCTGAAGATACCCATATTTAAATTCATATCATTTTCCAAACTTGCTGGAACTTCTAGTTTTGCTCCCTTTTTATTTCCATTACTACCATACTCAACTGTTAGAAATTTGGAAAACAAAACAAAACAAAAAAAAAAACAAAGCTGGGTACTGGTGATATATGCCCATAATCTTAGCTACTCTGGAGGCTGAGATCTGCTTCAAAACCAGGCCTGGCAGAAAAGTTGGTGAGACTCTTATCTCCAAGTAATCACACACACACACACACACACACACACACACACACACGATGAAAAGTGGAGCTGTGGCTAAAGTGGTAGAGTATAATAAAACTTAAGGGGACACTGCTGACTCTGAGTTTAAGCTTCAGGACTGGTATGCAAACCCAAACCCAGACACACACAGACACACAGATGCACACACCAATAAACAAAACAAACGGGTTAACGTCCTTGCCTATAGTCTTTTGAAGGATCCAATTGTACTTAAAAATACATCCACTTTCACTTTCCTCACAGCAGATCATGTAAATCTGCTTAAACACCTCACCTATTATATCTAATAGTGCCTCCTAGCATTCATAAGTAATCTAAACTTTTATTGGAATTTGTACACCACGAGATTCCTATTTTGCTGCCTGTTTCCTTCTCCTTGTTTTACAAAAGCCACACTGGCTTTCTTAACAAAATCATAGTGCTCACTTCACTTTTAGTCCTTTGTACTTTCTCTACCTGGCATGATCCTCCTTCCCAACACTAAGTAGGTGAACACTATTTAAACCTCAATCTTGAACATTACTTCCTGAAGACCTTTCTTGACCATCATTCTAAAATCGGACATTCATGTTCATATATCTTATTCTTTTCATTCTACAGTAGCAGTTGTGTTTTCCTTATGTAGTTAAACACCTTAGTCATTCTCTCTCTCTCTCTTTCTCTCTCTGTGTGTGTGTGTGTGTGTGTGTGTGTGTGTGTGTGTGTGTGTGTGTGTATGTGTGGTGGAGCTAGGGTTTGAACTCAGGTCCTCACATTGGCTAAGCTGACACTTTAACACTTGAGCCACACCTATGGCCTTCCTTTTTCCTGGTTATTTTAGAGATAGAATCTAGGGAACTTTTCTGCCCAGAGTCTGACCTGGAGCCACAATCTTCCAGTTTGCAGCCTCCTGAGTAGACAGGATTATATAGATCTGAGCCAATGGTATCTAGACATCTTACATTTAGTCTGCCTCAATACTAACTCTTCGTTCTCAAATTCCTGTTTGAGAGCAAGAAATTTGCTTGTTTCATGTACTAAACACCCTTGAGACCAGAATCAGGCCTACCACATGGTAGGTATTCTGTAAATACTTGCTAGACTCCTTATAAATATACTTTTGTACTTCTGAAATGCAGACTTAGCAGGGAAAAAGAAACATTGAGATTATTTTGAAAAAGTCAGAAATGATAAACTCCATGGGCATTTAAAAAGGCTTTGATGGTTCTGATTAGAGTTAAGTACCTGGCTTCAGTTGTGAAAAAGAAAACTCATAAACAAATCACAACAGTATAAATACTTTTTCTTCAGGAGTGTGATGAGAGATCCCTTGTCAAATCAGATATTTTAAAAGCTGTATCACCACTCAACAGGATTCTTGCTTTGAAATAAAGAATGTTTATTTTCCGTCAATATTTTTGTTGCTGCTAAACATGGAATTATTTACTGGATAAGGAACAAGTCTTAGTAAAAAGGCTTCCTTTTTAGCTTTGAATGTGTTGAAAATGGTTTTATTTTGGGGGACTGGCTTAATACAAGCATCTATGATGAGAGGTGTTCATTACTGCATTGGGCTAATGAGTATTAAACTGTTACCATTGGTATGGTTCACTCTGGAACTCAGGAAACTCATGGGTGGGTCACAAGATTCTACAGGAATAAGATCTATTTCTATAAAACCCATAAAAAAACTAAACTGCTTTTCTAAACTGCTATTTTAGATATTTCAGGAAGTATATAGTGTCCTGTAACACATAGATTCATAAATATATATATTATATATATATGTATATTTTTGACTCACTATATTCTATGCTAAGTTTCTTCCACAAAGTAAGGTGATTGTATTCTTATAGGTCTGAAAGAAGAGGAAATACCCATTTGTTAAACATATCCATAAGGCTAGTGTCCTTGCTAGTTGTGCTATCTATCCTGTCTCAATCCTTCTAACTGTACAATGAATAAATAAAAGCCAGTGAGATGGAAAAGTCCTCTCTTTTGCACAACATTGAGGGAGAAAGTTGGGAAATCAGGAATTTGCAAACAAAAGGCCTCATCCTCTGGATCTTACTCTAGCGTTCAGTTTCAAGATTTGCAAGGGACATTGTATTTTATATTACTGATACAGGGAAATAATCTGGAACATGACAAATGCTCACTGATGAACAATGTTATTAAATTGGACAAAGGTTTCTATCGGACAGTTGACGTTTAGAAATGGATAGACTTAGGTAAAGTAACTTGAGTTCTTGGACATCAAATTGTAGTTGGGTTTCACTTTTGGTAAGGAGATATTGTTTTCAAGATCCATAAGACAGGTTCAGATAATGGTGATAATGCTCTCCCTTCCACCACAAACTATACTGTATTGCTGATAATCCAGTCAAATGCTGTAAATTAAGCCCTACCTCAGCAGTGAAGACTAATTGTTTACTGATGATGCTTCAGGTACCAGACTTTGTG